CATCCAGACCTGGCAAGACTGACCAGAGACCGGGCGGATGGGCGGGACTGGGTTGCCCCCGGGAAGATCAGTGGCAGCATGGCACCACCAAACCATGCGTTCGGTCTCCATCCCCCGCTCGTCCGGTCCGATCTCTCTCACCCAATCTCCATGCCAGGCACTGCAAACTCTGCAGCCGGCCCGTCAGCGAGCTGAGGAACGTTCCTGGCTGTTCCCTGAAGAGGGGAGGCGGCATTGGCACAGGGGGGTTAGGCCGGGGTTAGTGGGAGCTCTGTGGGACAGTTGAGAAGCTCTCCCCACAAAATGGGCCATGGACCGATGGAGCCTCCCTTCGGTTCGGGCCTGACGCCTGTTTGCTGTCGTCGAACAACGGCGTGACAGCGCGCTCGACGTCGCGCGCCCAAGGTGGGAAAGGCGCCGTCGGTAAACCACACCGTGGGCATTTGCTGGCAAGGCACGCAGGGCAACGCAGGGCTGGCTGCACCGAAAGAGGGGCGGTACGCGGTAGTCGTACCCAAAACCGGGGACACTAGACCTAGCGGACAGGCGCCGATGCAACTCTGATGAGTGAGAGAGAGAGAGAGAGAGAGAGAGTAGAAAAAACCCCTGCTTCCTTGCCAGAGAAATTCCTTGGTTAGGAGGGGAGGGCGGTGGACCTGGCTACCTGAGGCCGTTCCAAGTGGCATCAATCAGTGGATGATGATGACATAGTCGGGTTCCAGATGGCTGTGACAGAGGCACAGAGAGCGTGCTGGCAAAGTCGGAATGCAGATTTGGAGAATTGGGCGTGCGAAAGAGTGGACTTTGGGTCGCTATTTCCCGTGAACGCGCGGTGCTTTGTCTCTGAAAATTTGCTCGCTCGCCGTTTTGCTCGCTTCGCTCAGGAGGCAGGAGGCAGCAAGCAAGGGATCGATCGACGAAGGAGGCTCTTTCTGTGTTCGGCTCTCCGCAAAAGGAAAGTACCTTGGCTCCGTACCTCCGGCTTCCACTCCGCTTCATGTGCGGTGGATTCCACTTAGGTTCCAGATGGAGTTTCCCGTCAGCGACGGAGTCGTGGGGAAGCCACCGAGAGAGGGTGAGTTTATTCAGTCACCGGTGTAATTGTACAGGGCATACTGCGGGCGGCATGACGGATAGCAACAGGAGCGCTATCAATGACCATTGATTAGTGCCCACCCGACGAGAACGGTTTGTTTGTGTCAAGCAACTTCCACTTATCATTATCTGTGGATTCTCTCTGTGCGAGGTGCGAGAGCGGCATCGGGATCATGGATAGGGAATTGATGAGTCGTGAGACCCTACCGTCATGCCGTACAGTGCAGTCATTAATTACACGTGCAGATAACAACGGTGGTAGATAGCCCTCGATCAAAATCGGACAACTCTTGACATGGCACAGTTACGATGCTGTGCTCTCTTGTTCCCCGCAAAACGTGGATGACGCGATGGCTTGAATCTTTCGCTCGGGCGCTTGGCAATCAAAGTCAATTCGGAGACCCTTGCGATAGGGGCGGCCTTGTTTTTTTTTTTTTTGACACATTTTGCAGAGCTCTTTGTTAGTCAAAACGGCTCAGCCGGTTAAACCGGTGAGCAGTCAGCAGGGACGAGGATCGATCCCAAAAAGTAGAACATGGAGTCTCTCGTTTAGTTTAAAAGTGTGTGTGGAGTGTCCAAAAGACTGAAGAAGATGTCCTCAGGTTTGAGGCTGTGAGGAAGAAGCAAGGATTCGGCAGCACACTCAAGAGGCTGAATCTGGGCGATAACATCAGCTCCTCGATACACGTGTAGTAGTGCGTGCGTGGTCTTTGGTGTTTGGTGGTGACCTGGAAGATGGAAGGCTATGCGTGTGTGGGGGATGGCTGATCAAGACGGACAGTTCGGGAGGAGTGATGACGGAGATCATACCTCAGCACTGTGGAAGAAGCCCAGGTTCTCGAGTAGGCGATTCGGACCTCCAGAATCGAGATGCCTAGTGGCGTTGTAGAGGCCCGTGATCACCTCAACTCGGCGAGGGATCATAATGGAGGTCTCCTTGTCGTTGTGATTGCGTGTGCTCTTCTCGTCGGGTTCCAGGTGGGATGGAGCACCTTGCTGTCCACGCTGGCTATTCAGGTTCTCACTGAAGACTCTTGGAGGTCTAAATTTGGAGGACCTTTATGGTCTTGGAACCCAAGTCATAGGTAGCGTCGCTGTAATCCACTCTTTTATTAACGGACGGGAGATGGACCTGTGATGATCACTAAACCAGCGAATGTCTCTAGACACGAAGGATCGTCAACAAGCCCGAGGGCCGAGTAGGATACCGAATGCACGCTGCTAGGTGCCCGTGAATGTCGGAACAAGCTTGCTACCTGCCGCCATAGGAAAGTGGTGAACCAAGCAGAATGAAGAATGAGTGAGGTAGGATTGATTGTTGACACGGAGCCATCCGAGGCACCTTTGCGGCCTCTGGGCAATGAGGGCCCCGTGCCATTCAGCCCAGTGCAGCACCAGTCGATGGAAGCCTGTGAATCTTGATGGAGGGAAGCCGATGGATCTTTGATGGAAAATATCACAACATTCTGGCAACATTGGCCATCCAGGTGCCTGTTCTGCCTGTCTGCCAACCGTGTCATTCGCAGATTCCGCCATCACCCCCACACCTTTTGTCACAGGGACTCGAGGCCGCAGGGCTCGGTTGTTGATGACAGAACACAGGCGGAGACAGGACCCTTTGCAAATGGGTCCGAATCATCGGTGTCGGTAAGCTCGCTGAGGTGCTCATTTTCAGAGTTTTCCATGCCAATATGACCGGCGGAGAGTTTTTTGATTGCGAAAAGAAGGAGAGTGAAATGGACAGAACCAAACTGCCCTGTTCCTGGAGTCAGACCTGTCGGCCCCCTCCCACCCCCCTAAAAACATTCAACACAGTGCCAGAGCGCTCTGCGATCCCTGCAGTGCAGTCCAGCAGTGTTCAGCACCCCCTCACCCCAACTGCTGTCGTCAACTGAGGAAGCTTCAACTGACACTGAGACTCCACCTCCCAACCTGGTCCAACGCGCACCGGTGACGACCTGTGGATTTTATCTACAAATCACTACAACAGTCAGCCACTCCAAGCAGCGACAAGAACAGCGAGCGCCACACAGAGGACGTTACTGGTTTCTTTAGAAGGTCCAGATCGCTTCTTTCCTTTTATTTCTCCTCTTTGATCCACAGAGTGACTGGCGACTTAGTGCGGTAGGCGAAACACGAGGCCAATCGATCGCATTTTCCCCCCTTGGCGGGAGTCCAGATAATAAATTTTTTTAAAAAAAAATTGAAAGTGCCAGAAACAAAACAGATAGAGATACGACGGGCCAGATAAAGTACAACTGCAACGGGCTCCATACCGATAGTCATACCGATACACTGTACAGTACACGTTCAAGCAACCGTGAAAGACGATTGGTCGACATCCAACCCTGCTGATCTCCGTTCACGGGCAAGACTCCAGATCATAAACGAAGACACGGCGGGTTGTGTGCTAAGCGCAGCCGGGGCCAGCAGAAAAAAAGAACATGGAAAAGGACCAAAAGGGGACTGACAGGGGCATACAGATACAGGCCACAAAGGTCTCGTTCAGTGACAACCTAGTAAAGAGTCATCCTTGCGCAGATACCAAGCACCTGGCCCTCCTCCATACACTGCACTTGCTCTATCATTTATTATTATAAGACCTCCGCCAGTTCCTCACCCCCATTGTACCTCCCTCCTAGTCTTTTTGTTTTCCCTCTCCAAGATCCCCTCGGCTCAAGGACAAACATCAACCTAGTAATTTCATTATACCATCAGCGCACTGCAGCAGCCAACGGGATCAACATCAAAGACAAGAAAGATTGTGCAGCTACCTCACCTCACCACACTTGCTCTAGCTTGTCAACCCAACTCCATATCGACGGTTACATCCACAGACGCCAATTGACGTCCCCGCCGTTCAAACACAACTGCCAACCGAACCCAAGACAACAACACATACATAGTCGGACTGCCCAACCTTGTTCTCGAACGACACGGCGTACCCGTAGCTAAATCCCGAACGAAACACTCAGCACCGTGTGTACACTCCCCTCATCTGTGTCACCACCACCGGCTATCCTGTTCTACCCACTGGCCGACCCAGAGAAGCGAAACACCAGCTACCTACAGACTCCATTCCCACCTCCGGCTGTATAAACAAATCAATAGCGGGACAGTAGTGTAGCTCACTCGTACAATCCGGGGCCCCGCAAAACCGTCCAAGCCTGTTCCCTGGACTGTGAACTGGGGAAACAAACCGGTCACTAGCGCAACCCCATTGCGACTTGACGGCGACATATAAAGCAACTGACCTGCACCTGTTACACCTTACGGGGTTAATAGCCGGTCGATTGTCCTCCTTGTCCTCCTACTTGTCCAACACCACCACCACCACCCTCGTTTGGTCTCCCGAAGTCGTTCGTTGAAGCTATCGGTTTGCGCATTTTCCCTCACAGACTCTCCAGTCCCACGACAGCCCCAGGAACAACAAGCACGAGCAAGAAAATTCTCTTCTTGCAGCTCACATATTTGCCACCCGGCACGACACCCACTTACACGGATTCGTCATTCCACGAATGGTAACTTGTGGGCTTGTTGATCAACAAAAGTTTTGAATAACTCTTCATTCCCCCCCCCCCTTTCAGGGATCCCCAGCTTCTCTCTCAACCTTGGGCCCAGACGTTATCAACGACGACTTACCAGGACACCAATTCACCTTCTCCTCTTGGGCAGGACCCCGCGTTTCCATCACCAACCCACGTTGCGCTGCCAAGGCACCTGAGCCGAACAAGTCAGCCAACCAGTGAACCCCTGGCGCTCCCTCAGGCTCACCTCACGTCTTAAACCCCAACCAATCACACACAATAGCCTCGATGCATCACCAACGCCGAAGGTCCGGGCATGCTTCTGGCAATACTTCGATGACCGACGTCCGAAAAGCTACCTCTTCCACCCGGCCTGCCATGACAAGGAGAACCACACCCCAGACCTCCCAGAAGCTGGGCAGGAACATGAGGGATCGTGAGAGGGAGTTGGAAGAGGAACGTTGGTTTGAAGAGGAGCGGGAAAGCTTTCCCCAGTTCTGGTATGTTACCCCCCTGCTCTCTGGCCTTTCCCCCAACGAACCCTAGCCCGCAAGATCAGATCCAAGTGTTGTATCTATCTGGGGTTCTCTTTATGAGTTGCCTTCACTACAACCAGCTTTCCCTCCCCAAATAATTCCTCTTTGACTCTCGCGCATCGTCACCTGATATGCGGGTGATCCGTGTAACGGTGCTCGACGGTGCGATGGCATTGGTCATTTTGGTGCCGAAGCATTGCCGTTCCTGCGTAACCTTTCAGGGTTGTCTCTTGTGCATGGATATACCAGAATATTATTGCTGACACTCAGTCTTATAGCATGTCTTGCGAGAAGCAGTTTATCCCCGATAACGACCAGTCGCTTTATTGCTCCAAGGAGTAAGTTCAGACAACTGTCCCATTCATTGAATCTCCATACTGACGTGGGCTCATTAGCTGCCGCATGAGCGACCAAGAAGGCTTCGGTGCCTCCTCATCCTCATCTCGCAGCTGGGTCGGTTCGAACGCTCCAACTCACTACCCATTTTTCTCGGCCTCCTCAGAGCCTCGAGACATTATCCCCCGCGCATCCCCATCCCGCCCCAACTCAGCATATGTCTCCCCGCCTACCACACCGGGAACCGGCCACTCCTCAGCCATCAATGCCCTCAAGTCTTCCCTCTATGGTGCCAGACCAGCCAGCCCTCCCTCCCCGCCGCCTGTAGGCAGCTACCACCCGAACGTTTGGCCTTTCTCGAACCGGAGCTCAGCTACGAGCCCCAACAACTCGTACTCCAACCAGCAGTCCGGTTTCTTCCCTTCGACGTATGACGGCCATTACTATGGCGGAGATGCCTACAATGACCGACCGCTACCAAGCCGCAGGCCAGGGATCTACTCGAGGCCCAAGAGCATTGAGCTTGTCACCCCCTTGGTAGGGAGGTAACAGTCATGTGGGCGATGAAGGGGCGGGTAAGAGGATGCGGGATGTCCTTGCTTTCCCATCCGACAGGATGCATGGTGCCGCAGCGGTGCACAGCAGTCAACTTTTCCCGTCTTTCGTCATGGACGATGCGGTTTGTTTTCCATTGCATGGGAGAGTGGGGGTTTTCGGGGCGATAACTGAAATTGCAGTGCTGCTGGCCGGTATCTCGCGTGGCTGGGTCCTGATATTGGATATGGCGATGGCGGTTGTCCCTTCCCGGTTACACACACCTGCCCACCTTCTTTCCAAGACCGATTCGATCTAGCACGGGCATCAATTCGAGCTACCCCACAAACTACCACCTAACGGAAGTCGGGCACCTAGCCGAAACCGAAGCGAAGGGAAAGAACACACACGAAAGAGGCGGGGAACTTTCTTGGGCCACTGCATCCCATTTTGGGGCCACGGAATTGTGGAAGGAACGAACCGAAAATCGACAACGCAGACGAACAAGAGAACAAGTGCCACCAGAAGGACACTAGTGCATGGGGATTTGAAACCTTGAACGTCTCGGCGTCCTTTATCGCGATCAGTTGGTCGAATGTCGTTTTCGTGGGGTTGATGATCGCCCTTGCCTTCGAGTTTGCTTCTTTCTGCTTCTGCTTCCGCTGTGACAGCTACGACCAATCGCTTCTGGAATCACCCTCTTCACCGGTGAAGGAATCATAAAACACTTTTCTTTTCTTTTCTCCAACATCAATTTTTTTTCTTATTAAGCATTTTACTGGTTTACATCAGATCTGGATAAAGACACTATCAAAAGGCGGGGTTGTTTGGCTGGGTTGGATATCTGTCTGCTCTTTTTGCATTGTTTTTCTCATCAAATTTCTATAGTCTTTATAGTTATTTCTTGTCATCGGCGTGAGTGTTCGTTCAGTCGAGGCGGCGCATTTTTGGGATATTTCGGGGAATTGGAACAAAAAGTTTTATACGACAGGAATGGCAGGCGGGACTCATGAAGAAGCAGAAGAACAACTTAAGAGAAAGAGCATCCCACTCACTTTTCTTATCAGCCCTCGCGGGCGGCGGTGGCGGCGATCACGCAAAAACAGAGAAATCGAGAACAAGCATTGTATATCAAAAAAATTTGTATCATATTTCAGCATTTTTTGTGTTTGTTGATCATCATCATCATCATTATCATCATCATCATCATCATCATCATCATCATCATCATCATCATCATCATCATCATCGCTATCAGCATCAGATACTGGTCATTCAGATTCATGGGGCACAATGGAACGGAAGGAACGTTTACATATTTCTACATAAGCAGGCACGCATTCATGGTTGTTGGACAGAGGTCATCTTTGCTGTTTGCATTTATGGTTATCATGATGTATATTGAGAATAATCAAGCATCATCACCGTCATCTTCAGAATCTCACACATGTCTTCAGAACATCGCCCGTTGCTATCCAAAACAAGAGAGACTCCCCTCGCCCGTTCATCCAAGACTCTTGATGACACCAACCCCAGATTTTCGGCTCTCCTCGGTTGCTGACACCTCTTAGCAGTTTTTAGTTTGCCAGTCTAGAACTATTCTGTTACGTACCTAGTTGCTCATGCCTACCAAGAGTTCCAAGAGTGTCAAAGCACTTTTGGCATTTTCTTGGAAAACTTTTTTGTCTTTGCATTCCGCTTCCCTACAGTACAGTATTTCTTTTGAGTCTTACCACGTACCGAATACGTACCTAGTTTACTCCAGGAAATAAACGGCCTTATCATGGCATCCCCCATCCCTCATTTGAACTCTCGGCATCTCCATTCTAACCCCATACACCAACCCCAGACTTTGATGTCACAACGGCAAGACGTCAACAACAAAAATCCACCGCTCTGGAATTTCACCGAGATGTTGTGGATTATGGAGGTGTTGGCTTTTTGGCAGTTACGACGCAAGCGACGGCGCCAACACCCAAGAAAAGTCTAGACTACCTACCCCACACCCCATACATACTCGAATTGTTAGACGTATTACACCAGCGTGATCAGTGAACCAGTCAGGAGTGGTGAAGAGTCCCGGTTGTCCTTTGTTTTGTTTGACGCTATTCCCAACCTGGTTCTTTCTCCGCTGGCTCCCGGGGCCAAATTAAGCCGCTCCGAGTCCGACCGCTCCCCCGGCTTTGGTTCCACCCAAGGCACTGTCCAACGGATGTTTCGCCGAAACCACCTACCAAGTACCAACAGCACAAAAACGCAAAAGGGTCGGGAGTGAGTGTCTATGTAACCTCGGCGCTGATGATCGGACTGGAGCTCACGGAGGAGAGGAGGATCCACCCGGACTTACGGTCTATGTAACAAACACCCCGGACGGAGCGGAGTGCGGTCCAGTGTTCCGGACGGCTAGCGCCGGGCCGGGGGCTGGGGTTACAATCGGATGTAAGCTTCATACCTCTTATCTCAGATATCTCAGATATCTTTGCCAGACTATAGATTAGATGCGCCAATCGATAAGGTATTATGTTTCTACATTAGTGAGCCTTGATTTAATGATAACTTTAGTATGGAGCTTGCCGCGCTGGACCCTGAGGACTTCGAGCCGGGAAGGACTAGGTACTCAGTCAGCGAGCGGGTCGTCAACTACTACTATAGGTAATGGTTCTGCTAATAGATACACAGTCAGTACTTTACTTTACTTTACTTTACTTTACTTTACTTTACCTTCTTCGCTTACCTTACAGGCGTGGGGGTACGGGAACACATCTAACCCATCTTCACTGGAGGTTCCTTAGCTGAGTAAGGGAGGTAGGGTAGGGTGGGTAATTACTGTAGCTTAGCTTCGGATTGGGAAATGTAAGCAAGAAGCAAGCATAAGCACTCAATTCTCGAATCTTGATGCCATATAGGAAGTGTGTGTGCACTGGTCGGTTGTGGCTTTGACCGTTGTGACCGTTGAGCATATGACCGAACGGGACAGCCTCTGCAAACTCCGATAGTAGGAAGATGACGGCGACTGTGGTGAAGTTGGTTTTTTCTCACTTGGTATATGATCTATCAAGTTCCGAGTTTATGAAGTCTGATAAGGATTCGACTCATGTTGAGGATAGATGGATAGATAGATAGATAGATAGATAGATAGATAGCTAAGCGCCGCGACTGATCAAATGCAATGGATGAAGGGATTGAGGCACAACGGATGGTGATCATGTTGAACGGACAGATGAGAGATGTGATGGATCGGATACGATACCCTCCCTCGCCTCCCTTCACCTCCCTCGCTCGATCAATGCACCCGGAGCCTTAAGAGGCGACGATATAGGCTATAAGGCAACCAGTTGCAGTGGAATGTGGGCGGTGTCAGCGTTACGAAGAAAGAGATAGAGGGTTGCAATTTCGATCACGCAGGTCACATAAGAATGGTGTGTGTCTCCTATATGTCGGAGGCGAGGAGGGTCTAACGAGGGGGGGAAGGGAAAGAGGGGCAGTGTTAGCTGAATGTGGATTGGGTGAGTGAGGAGTGCGAGGAATGTGGTAATAAGGAGAGAAACGTCGTCATCTTGTATCTTCAAATGTCGACGGTCAGCCCGATAACAGCAACGTATTGATCCCGCTTAGAGGTGTGTTTTCTCTATGCACATTTGCAATTACAAATACGGTACTAGTAGATAGATAGATAAAACTGTGCCTATAAATAGCAAGTGTAGTGTGTACGTGCCTGTCTGTTCAACGACAAAGGGCATCATAACTGTCTTTGCAAAAAAAAGAAAAAGCCGGCGTTACATCATGACCGTCTGGTGTCTCTAGGTATAGTGTAAAGAGTCGCAACAACGACAACTGAACAGGCAAACCGCATATTCAATGACGTTTCACGACCGTGTGTGTGTGTAGGTTTCACGACGCGATATTATCATTCCCTTTCCTGCTTTCTCTCCTTCCTTCCTTCATCTGCGGTCCACCCGTGTAATTCTCAGTGGGCATCATTCCACTCACCACCAGCACCACCACCCGTGGTCCCAGACCCGGCGCCCACGTCCGTTTCAACCATCTCTATACTCGTAAGGCTGGGAAACCGCTTCTGAAAGTCCTTGATATAATCATCCTTCTCGGCCGCCGACATCTGCAGTAGCATGGGGGATTTCTGCCCGGGCAGATCCTCCACGGCGACCAGCGCTTCTTTGCTTACTCTGCTGCAGTCTGCTGCTGCTCCTCCTGTTCTCGCTCCGATACTGTCGCTTCTATCCCTGTCTATTAAAGAGCTCGAAGAGGTCCCCGGCCTAAGCTGTTTGTGTAGGCTTATCGTGCTGGCGCTGTAGGACTGTCTAGGTGGCGAGCTAGCTCCACCGCCGGCTGTTAGGTTTGCGGTAAGTCGGGCTGGTTTCGCAGGTGCGGCAGGTTTCGTTCCTGTTACGGAACTGGACATGCCGGACGACGTCGGGGGTCGCGGTAGAGAGCCTGTCACGGGCTGTCCGGTGATGGCGATGGGCTTCTTTGCAACCGATGGCCTCGAATCTCCAAGACTGTCAGTTGAGTCACGAGGCCCACCAGCGTCGGCATCGGTATAATGGCCGTATCCGTGAGCTGTCCTTGATACTGGCGCTGAGCGACTGCTTTCATCCAGGAGGTGCTGGACCTTGTTCTGTATGGACACAGCACGAGGGACGCCACCAATGCTCTTGGGCAGCGGCATCGGGGCCGTTCCCGAACCCGTACCGGTCCGCTGCGCAACGCGCGCACGGTATTCGGCCTGCGCAGCAGCGACACGAGCCTCTTCGGCCGCCAACATGCGTGCCTCCTCCTCCCGACGCATTTCAGGAGTCATCTCGTCCGCGTTATCGTCTCCAAAATGACGACCATCATCGCTCCTGTCATCAGTTGCCTCGGATCCCGCGATTGGTGTCAACTTATTGAACCGGTCAAGTTCTGCATCAATATCCTTCAGAGGAGATGGGGTCCTCGGAGGTCCGCTGTTACCCGCACCACCTTCAAACCTCTTGAATGCATCTCCAAACTTTCCAGCGAAAAGGTTCTTGGTACCAGCACTAAGTGAACTCAAGCTTGAGCGCTTGGAATGATGCTTGGCACCCTTGTCTTTCTTCTTAGTATCGGCATCCTCCATTGATCGCAGGAACTCGACACTGGACCGGATGTTGCGCTCCTCTTCCAGCTTCGGTGAAGGAGGAGCCTTGTCGAACGAGAATCTGGAAGCGGAAAGGCTCGGCGAGTGAAGTGGTTTAGCAGCCGCCTCTTTTTCACGCAAGTAGTTAAGGTCTGATTCAAGATAGATACTGGCAGGTCGTGACTGGGAATTGCTCTCCTGCTGTTTAGATCTAGTGGGTAGGTCAAAGGCATCGAAGCTTGGGCGGCCACCTTCAAGTGACGGTCTTGAGGACCTGGGATGATGCCCTTGCAACGGAGCGTTTGGTGACCCGGCCGTTCCAGGGGATAATAACACCGTCGTAGCAGCGCGTGTAAATGATGTAGGCCCAGTCTCGTGCTGCCGGGGGACACTAGCCGCCCGGTGATGCTCTGCAGGGGGGAAACGATATACCGGAGGAGGCGATTCGGTCATGGTCCCGGTTGAAACCATCTTAGGCCTAGCTGGTGGGGGAGACTGGAACGGACTTTGTGAATTCGGCGAGGAGATCGTTTTGAGTTCGGGTATGCTGGAGATTATGGCTGAAGCTCGGCTTGGCTCGCCTTGCCTCGGGAGCGTGGAAACTGGGTTGACCGATGGCGATATGCGCTGAGATTCCATAGCAGCCGCATACGGATTTCCCTTGTTCAGGTCAAGCGAGACTCGCTGGCTCACTGGCACGGGTGTCGGGGAAGGTGAAGGCTTCACCTTGAATACCTCGTCCGCTAGTCTTTCAGCTACCCTTTGCGAAATGTCCTTCTGCTGCTGTGGAGGTTGAGCGACACCACTGTCAAAGTCAAACTTGGTCCCCCGGTCATGTAGAAGGGAGAACTGGTCAAGCGTCGGAAACTTATTCGATAGCTCGTCGGCGTTCTTGAGTGGGAGCTTCGTATCCAGTGCAGCAAACGGGTCACCATTTGTGATCTTCCCGGGCCCAGGACTGGGCGTCGTCGGTTGGGATACCGACTGAGACGGAGCCGGGAGTCTTCCTCGTCGCATCCGCTCGACTTCAGGAATAACCTGCTGTTGGACTACCGGGGCTGCAAATACAGCGCCAACGACTGGGGGAGACTTGGCCTGGCTCTGTGAGTTTTCGCGCTTCCTGATGTCTGCATGTGTCCCCGTGTAGATCTGTACACAACGCTTAGTTAACCTGTCGAGAGCTCAGTCAAAAAAGATACCAGGAGCACTTACGTCTTTGACAGGAGGTTCCTTGCCTTGCATAGCGCAAGCTTCTCGGAGCACCTGATAGATATTTGGTCGGGCTTGTTGGTTCTCCTGCAGCATCCAGGCTGATAATAATGGATGAGTACTAGGTTCAAGAACAGGAGACCACGGGATGCTTACCGATGAGCTTCTTCAATCTGTCAGAGAAGACAGGGTAGCTATGGAACTTGTAGCTGGCATTAAGGATCGCCAAGGTTCCTCCCTCTTCGAACGGTGTAGTGTAATAGCACAGCTTGTATAGTAGGACGCCCAGCGCCCAGATATCTGACTTCTCGTCGATGGGTTGTTTGCGGTACACATCAACCATCTCGGGACTCCTGTACTGCATCGTCGTATGCTTCTGGATGTCTTCGTCCACCAGACGGCACTCGGTAACGGTGGTCGGGGCTGGGCGAGGCGGGGCGGCCGAACCAAAGTCGCACAGCTTGAACTTTCTGACACTGCCAATCATGTTGATGAGCACGTTCTCGACCTTTAAGTCGCGGTGGAGGAGTGGCGGCTTGAGGTAATGCATGCAAGCAACACCTTCGGCAACATCAGAGAAGATATTGAGGATTTCGGGCTCGGTCAGACGGTGCTGCAGCCGGGTGTTCATAAAGTCGATAAGACCGCCGCCATTGCAGTATTCCATCAGGAGGAAGACCTCGTAGCCGCCAGTGCCACGCATCTCGGAGGCGTGCGAATCGATATAGGTGACGATGGCCTTGTGACCCTTGAGGCGCTTCATGGTCTCGACCTCGGTGCGCATGCCGCGGAGGGCCTCCTTGTCCGGCACGGCGACCCTCTTGAGCACGGCCAGGTCGGTGCCATTGACCGCCGCCGGCAGCTTGACCAGATAGACATGTGCGAAACCGCCTTCCGAAAGGTACTTCTGGATGACAACTCGGTGGGAGCCGCATTGGATCTTGGTGCCGGGCGCAAAGGTGCCTGCTGGGGCGGCAGGGGCGCTGACCGCCACGGGGGCCCCGTACGCTGCTCCATACGGACCCGGCCTCGGGGCAGTCGCCGGCACCGCTTGTCCAAACGAAGCCATCGCGCTGGCTGTGAGCTGGCCTATAAATTATTGTGTCGTACGGTTCGGTTCGTTTGGGGTTCGGGGTAGTGGGCAATGTCGAGCGAGGAGGATTCGGCAGAGTGACAACTCGGACGACGGACGCGGTAGTGCCTTGGATCGAGGGGCGCAAGGAGGGGCGGTCGTTTGGGAATACCGGTGGGTAGGCGACTCGACTGGGAGTTGGACAGCTCTTCACGGCATCGAAACTATAACAATGGAATCGAAGAAGAGAGAGGCCGTCTAGAAGAAATGCATAACCGCCTAAAAAACAAATCACCACGAAGAGTGTACAAGAGTAAACCAAATTGTTGGTAGTAGGTAGGCAGTAGTAACATCGGGGACTGGCAGTCAAAAGGGTTCCCGGGGCCGGTTTCCAGCTCGTCTAATCGCAGGGATGACGGTGGGGTCGCGATCGGGGGCGGGCCTGCTGGGCGATGGGCCTATGGTTGACGGGGAAGATTTCCTTGTCGGTCTCGTCGCAGTGAGTGAGGTGTGCCGTCGACGTGCTTGGGGTGTTTGGCTGTGTTGATGCCGTGTTCGTCCGGGATGGTTGTTTCTCTTGCGATTAGCACGGCGCATGCCATCATGTTAACGCCTCCTGTTTCCAGTCCTGTTCAGGGCGGCCCCGTGGGACGGCAGGATGGCGGCATGGCAGGTTGAAGCAACTGGCAGCAGACTCGCAGCAGTTGTCCTGCAGGTGTGAGTGCCCAAGTCGACGCTGTCCCGTCTGCAACACAGCAGGTGCCCGCCAGCTGTACCCTACCGGGCATACAAGTCAACGACAATGGACTTGGCATGAGCCGCAGAGGTACCTCTATCACGCACTAACATCTGCACATGCAAGGGCGGGGACAGCATTTACACCAGCTATCAACCCAAACTTCACGACGTGGCGCCAACAAAGTCAAGAACCAAGACGAAGTTTCTCGGATCCAAAAGGCCACCGGTCAAGATGACGCGCGTTAGGCCGGATGAAGATATGGCGATGGTATGCAAGAAGAATCACCCAATCTGTGTCATGACACCCCGTCATCTCGGCTACTCCGTGCTGCCTGCCTGATCAACCACATCGTGCGGGCATCTCCAAAGCTCTCTGTTAACAAACCTACAGTCTGCTATAACACATCTTATAGACATATCTACCACTCTGGTCATCGTGGTTTTATACCCATGTTCTCGCATTTCTTCACACAACACCAACAAAACCTTTTTAGAGTATGGCAGAACGCCCTCTGACGACATCAACCAAACGCTACCGACTATGGCACTAGGGTTCCCCGGCAACACGATGCCTCCATCTCCATATCGGCATGGCAGGTTGCCTGGCAGAGAACCTCGAACACCTACCACCATACATACTTGTACTTCCCCCGCAAGCCAGATTGTCCACCTCGAGGACGGCACGATCAATATCGGCTCAAACCTCTTGCTCATTCACACGAAATTTATCTGGGAATACTTTACGGGCCATGGATTCCAAGTGGGAAATATACCCTCTGTTCACTCACGTTCATGACTCTGGATAAGGGGCAAGTTACTCCTTAAATTGCTTCCAACCACCTAACTCTAGGTACTTTGTAAAGTGTGGGGTTGTCGACATCCCCACGACCACGATAGTGTACAGGGTGGAAGCTCGGATGTTGCCGGAGGATAAGGTATCGTCAAAGCAGCACTGGCGATGAGCTCGAATACACAAATCATTTATATGTGAATATTTCATAGCTCAACGCTGAGTGGATTTGTGCTATATAGCTACCTACTAGCTAACGACTGATACCAAAATAACTCTTCGCTTATCGAACATACCGGGAAGGCACGCTCCCACTTGCAGGGGCAACTTCGAGTCCTTCAACCGCAGTGACACTGACGCAACCCACCCAGCAACCAACAACCACCAACCTGAACATCTGATCCGTGCTCGGACATCTTATTCTCTCCCTTGAACCTTAAGATATGAGTCTCTTCAGATCTCGCCCAACTCTTGTCAGCCACACATCCCGACAGCTCCTAATCACCTACCGACACCACCCTTCCTCCCAGAAAATGAGTTTCCGCGATTACTCCAACCTCGAAACGCCTGCGTCTTGTTACGTAGATTTCTGCTTGGTCCCCGTGAGTCCTCGCTCGTACTTACCAACGTGAATAAATAAATAAAGATATGCTGACATTTTGGGTTTGTTTGCAATGGAAAGGTCGGCACAGGCAACGTCTCCGTCGCCAACGAAGTCGCCGATGTGCAAAGAGTCCTGAAAGCCAGCGGGTTGAAGTACACGATGCACTCGGCCGGCACCACCGTTGAAGGATCCTGGGACGAAGTGATGAAAGTCGTCGGCCAAGCGCACGCGATCGTGCATCAGGGGGGTGTGAAGAGGGTGCAGACTTCTATGCGGGTTGGAACTAGGTATGTGCTTGTTTTTGTTCCTTTCCTTCCTGTTTCTTCTTGTGTGATTTATATCCTCAATGCGTGTGCGATGCTCTTTGCTGACCCTTTAACTCTCTCCCTTTCCTGTTTCGCTCCAACAGAACCGACAAGAAACAAACAGCTGAAGACAAGGTGAAGAGAGTGGAAGGAATCTTGTCGGGGGATCAGTCACCTGCCTAGAGGTAGTGACTTCACCTTCTCAAATCCAGCTTTGATACTTGAGCTTTGGTTCCTTGGTGGCTTGCTTGTCCGTCTTACGCACAGCATCTTGAGGATCATGCAGCCTCCAAGAGAAAAACATGATACTAACCAAGCTTGTCTTCTTATCAACGGTACAGAACACCAGATTCGCTATGCTGGGAGGGCGGCTTTTGTCAAACCGTTCCGCGCCACACAGGATAAGATAGGGGAATATCAGAGGATAGGTAGAAGAGAGAAACAATGTGAAAGTTGTGATGATAATTGCGGTGGCATTGTCTGGAGCCTCGTGTTACCATCCGGACTTTCACCCCATCTGGCAACCTGTCATTGGATGGAAAAAAACGAAACCCCCCCCCCCCCCCCC